TTCAAAAAAAAAAGTTTAAAAATATTGCAGTCGGCTTCCTCTGAACTGTATTTAGAACCACTTTATTTGACTTGTTATTTTTTGAAATCGGACTATAAATAACGAAGTTATGGGTTGGGGCGTTTAGGAGACACCCTGTATGTATTTTATTTGTACATATGTATATTCTTAATTACAATTTAATTGTAAATTAAAAAATGTAAGTTGTCACTGGTATATAGAAATGCATATTATACATAACATATATATTATTTAATACTTTTCATCGTTTAGGTATAATATCAGGGCAAATAGAACTTTATTTGCCTTGATAATATCCTAATAATTCATGTAAAATTTACATCCGGCAACGCTGTCTAAACTGGGCATTAAATCCGACTCGCCTCTGGCGTCACCTACGAGCTAGGAGCTAAACTTACACTCTCTACTGTACATGCGCAGTTTGAAAGAAGCTGGATATTAGAGCCGGCTTCTTTTCGGGGACTACATTTTAATACATTGCACGAGCCTTCTGTAGCGTAGCTATATATTCTGTGCTAATACCTAAAAGAAGGTTAGGTTACATTGTCAAAAAATTTGTGCAGTCAACTGAATTTGTATCTGTATTAAATTCATTATTCACTTAATTATTAAATATTAAGCATCGTCCATTGAATACGCCCGGTATATGTAAAAAAGATATCCTGGCGAACCGCTGGCGTTCGGCCACCGGTTTTTGTTGAATATTTTTTATAATTTTTTTTTTAATTAGTAGCAGTTAGTTCGATTCACGCACGCATAGAGTTTTGTTGAATATTTCGCTACATTGGAAATAATTAATAATTGTGTATAATTGGTTTTGTGAGTGAACCCTAGGTAGAAGTCGAGTGCATTCCCTTTTCCCTTTCCCTTTACCCCTCGACCTGAAGAAACATCAATTGCATCACATTTTGGTGAGCTCATTTAGTTTAGTTTAGTTTTGTTTTATACAGTTCACTTGAAAAGGGCTATTTGGGCCCCACCATCCATCGACCCATCAGTGTTAAAAAGTGAAAGATTCCAGACAAGATTTTATTTTGTAGTTCCACGATAGTGACAGTGTATTTTTTATAAAGAACTAGAAAATAAGAATAGCGTGCCGATTACATTAAAAACGAGATTCTTATTTCTTACTTTGCTTAATTTTTTAGTTTATGCTGAACTAGTTTTACAATGAACTGAGAAAACAATGCATTTACTACTTCCGAACGTGTGGATGTGGTGTTAGTGTATGGTGCAGACGGAGGAAAGGCGCTCGCGGCTACTAAGTTGTCTCCACACAGTACTCGAAAAGTAACGACACTTTTGAATGAAATATTTCCTCAGCGATGGATAGGACGCTTTGGTCCTGTATCGTGGCCATTTCGGTCACCCGATCTAACTCCAATGGACTTTTATCTTTGAAGTCACTTGAAGTCATTTGTTTACAATACTCCAATTGCTACGGTGGAAGAATTGCGAAATCGTATACAAGAAGTTGCTGACACAATTAGGAGAATACCTGAAATTTGGGAAAATATTCGCCAAAATTGGGTGCGTTGGTGCCATGTTGCATCCGCGCTAATGGGGATCAATTTCAACATTTTCTCTAGAAATGGTAAGTTTTATTTCATTTTGTTCCACATTTTAATGGAGTTTGTTTAGTGCACGCAGTTGGCAACTGCAGATGCCTATGGATGTGGTTTTATTTGCGAACTCTTGCAGTAACAACAATGCATTTAAGATAGTAATTACTATTAATTATTATTATAATAAGAAAATAACAGTTTTTTTAAATATCTATTTTTCTTAGTTTGTACTTTTCCATTGAAAAATTCCCCAAAAATTAAGAAGCATCTTTCTGTCTTTCAACGACGATTTTTTTACTCGGTTGGTATACAGCACGCATCTCATCGTACCGCACACGGACAGGGCCGTTCTAGAGAAAATATTTTGATCCATAATTGAACTTTAATTTACAAAAAGAAAAGCAAAAATATAACTTTTTCGTATAAGACTTTTCTATTACAAATATCGTTAGGAAGCTGTAGTTTAATTTTTATAGATTATACACGCCACACCCTGTATAACAAACTCTCTATGTCGCCGTTATTTCTAGGTTTATTCCCCTTCGCAATGAAGTTGTGCGACGAATATTCAGGCATATTTCGAGTCTGGTTCGGCCCTAGGTTGTTCCTTATTACGTGTCAACCTAAACACTACGAAATTTTGCTACCGCATTGCTTGAGCAAGGACAAATGGTACAGCTTCGGTGAACAAGCCGTAGGTCATGGGCTGTCGACTGCTCCCTGTAAGTACCTCTTCATCGGTACCTCAGAGACGTACAGTTGAGGTACACCTTGTACTTATTATTTTTTGTGCAGATTTGGGGAAAATATAAAATTTTCAAAATACCAACGACGTCTAAGTTTCCTCACTGGTTAACACCATTTGTGTTAACAATCTTCTAATAATGTCAAACTTCAAACTTATTTGCTTTCAAGGCCTTCTCAGTCGGAAAGTTTTATATTTCCCTCAAATCTATACAAAAAATAATAAATAAATACATATTTTTGGAATGCAGCTTCAGTCTTTTTTTTTTGTAATAAAATACAGAAGTTGTGGTCATATCACAAAAACTATAAATATTATCAAATTTAGCTTGGAAAACATGACATGCTACATGATGTGCTATCTCACACAAAAGTAAGCTTGACTACAAATTTAAGTTGGCTGCATTGGCGTTGAAATGCACATTGAATGATTGAAACCTTGCACATAAATATACATTTTCATAAAGTTTCATTTTATATTTGTATTCAAAACATAATTTATTCATAAAATTTCATTATAGAGTTAACATAATGACCAAAATATAAATATAATGTATAAAGCTGAATGATATGTAAACATGTGTGCATGGGGAACAGCAGCACGTGCATATCGTATGCTCTGCGCCCGTCGCATCGATATCCAGCAGATCATAAAGTACCGGTAATAAAAGTGTCGCATACCTGTATTTCATTTCCAAAGTCTATGCAAGCACGCGGCTACCGCACCTTAAGAAGCCATTTGTTTTTACTGAGGTGCAGTAAGAACGATTCGGACCCGGAGTTTGGGGCCTAGCCTGGTTCACTATACAATACTTTTTATTGCAGTCTCCTTAGTCCGCATTAGACATATAAAATTATTTTCAGAACAAATCGTGCATCCCAGACTTTGTGAAAAAAAAAATAAAATAATTGTATCAAGAGTAGTGACTGTAAATCAGATAAGAGTGCTCTATTAATTTTTATATCAAAACAAACTAGTATGAAAAAAAATCCTATAATTTTTAGTAATAATAAACATTTTTATATATTAAAGTATACACTATTTTTTTATAATTTGTTATTTCAAAAAACATCGAGTAATGTACGTGTTGTAGCATATTGCATATTATTATATTTTTTTAATTAACAATTTTGTCGTTTATATCAGTAAATTAACAAAATTAATTGTGAAATGTTGAATGAAAAAAATAAAATAAACAGCACCTGAACATAAATATTCCTTACTTTTTAAAAAATATGTTATATAAGTTTATTATAATTGCACGGTTTCATCATTCAATGTGCATTTCAACATTTCAGATAGCATGTTTTTACTTAAAGATATGAGCTAGCCTGTTTTCCAAGCTCAATTTTAGAAAGCACGTTTTCGTAGTAAAGCGTCGATATTTGAAGAAAGTGCCTTTATAAAGTTCAAACCAAAGAATTCTAACCACTAGAAGGAGCCTTGTGTATTCTCATACATGTGTTTTAACTGTAGCAAACATCTAAACAGAGAACTACCAAATAAATAAAGATAGATAGTGTCAAATGTAAACAATGAGACACAGCGGCAGTGGCGTACTGTCAAGTAAGGCAAAATATTAAAATTTACAAAATACCAATACACATTTGAAACGATTACTCATTTTATAAATAATTTTTACATATTGGCGATATAATGAGACGGTAAAAATTGAAGTAAAATTAATAAACTGTTTTTACTATACTCAAATAGTTTTGACATCACTACTGATTAATTAAATGCTTTTATCCAACACTGGTATATAATGATACTATAATTTCTTTGGTTTTAAAGGAATAATGAGGCCTATAAGTCACTAGTGAGTTATAAGTCATAAGTTATGACTTATAAAACCCACTAGTGACTTATAGAAATCATAAAAAGACAAATGTTTGGTTTGTTTTTCTAGTTTTTATTAGAAAACCAATTTGAAACAGTAATAAGTCAACAAATACTAAAAAAGATAAATTATCTATTCCAGATGTATTTTATATAAACACTTACGGTAGTGTTTATATAAAATAAAATGGTAATATATAAATAGGTAACAAGGTAGAATTTTCTTGGTATTTTTTAAAATGTACCGAATAAAAAAAATGTTAGATAGGTAAGCAGATAGCTAAATTATAGGGTATTAGTTGTAGATACTATATAAAGGATATATAATTTGTTAATTATACTTACTTCACATTTATAATTTTATTACGATTGGGTAAATCCATTCCTATTTCTGATGCAGTTAAAGTTGATCAATGTTTTGCTGATGTGTCACCAAATTTCGAATATATTTCAGAAAGATCTGTAGCCTTATTTGTAGTCGATAACAAGCCTCATTGAGCACTCAGTGTCGATGACGATGGACATGTGGATATATTTTCTGGTTTTTGTTGCGGCAAGTGCAATGACTGTTCCGTGGGAACATCATTTAGAGAAATATTTTCCTTATTAGAACTGCCTGATCTATAAAAATTAAATAAAAAGGTAAAGAGGTACTAGGTAACTGTAAAGGCTTTTTACTTGTATATTTTAATATAAAAGTTTTTTACCTGCTTTAAGTAGAAGCTATTATTGGAATAGCTGATGGCTTTGTCAGAAAATCATTAATCGCAAAATGATCAGAACAAACAAAAATGTTGTTGGTAATATTGACATCACTTAGGGAGAGCTTCCACAAGTTTCTCTGTTCCAGATTCTTAGGAAATCTAAAAAATAGAATAATATACCTATATATAACTCATAATATACTTAAATATATCTTTTTAATAATTTAGATAATGATTTAGTCAGTATTTTATCACTGCTAATTAAGTACTAAATGTACAACACCCTTATGTAATTCCTCAAACGCCTCCATGTTGCCTGTTTACTTACCTGTGAAGAGACCGCTGCTCGCCCCTTTTTAAATAAAACTTTGCAAATAACACACTTTTTAACTATGTCTTCGCACTAAATAAATGTCCATACATAAAAACTACACAACAATAAGAGGAAAATGCCACACTAAACACAAATAAACTTAAATACGTTAATAGCGGCTGCACACTTTTCCTTTGACAGCTGTCATCGACAATCATCGAAATGCGGACGTAGGCGGTAATATTAATTCGACCAATAGAAATTTGTGTCTCCTGAAGATCTGATTTATTTATGTACATTCGCAAACAAATACATCCAAAGCTCCTTCTGGTGGTTACAATTCGCTGGTTCAAATCGTTTTAAGATATCTCGAAAAGGAAACGAGGAAAGAACAGTCGGTTTGGTAAAAACCTTGACTCTCTTGTAGCTCGAAAACGGCAACAGATAGAGAGATGCGGTTTGTGCCATTGTTATTTTCTCGAAAGAAAGAGTAACCCTTGAAAAACCGACGAATTTGAACCACCCGGTACTAAGCAATACTCCCTTTGTAGTAAAAACGTGGAAGAAGCATAGGAAGACCATAATGCCGACTTTTAACCAGAAAATCCTAGATGGGTTCGTGGAGATCTTCTCTGAGCAGTCGCAAATTTTGGTGGAGCAAATGGAAAAGTTTGCCGGAAGAGGGGAATTCGATGTCTTCGAAGAATTGATAACGAAGTGCACAGTTGACATTATTTGTGGTGGGCATGATATTTGTAAGGAAAATCTATTATTTGTGAATATACTTCTTTTTCAGAAACTGCTATGGGGGTGAAGGTCGGTAATCAAACAACTGATGATAGGCCTGTTTCGAAATGGATCGACAGGTAAAGGCTTGTAATTTCAACTTTGTTATTGTTCTGTAACTTATTTCAGCATTTACGACATTCTAGGGTATTGGAAAACATGTTTGTTCGGGCGTTTGTGTTTCATTACCATTTCGACGCCATTTTCAATCTGACAGCCAGGTCGAAGGGCGATCGAGCTGCTCTGAAAAATTTCCATGATTTTTCTGGTTCGGTGAGCATCACACTTTTAATAAATTTTGCACAACTTATTGCATGTCCTTCATAACCTAAATGTTATAGATTATACGAAGGGGTGATAAGCTACTATTTAGAGGTATTGAAGAACAAGGTCACATATTTTCGTTTGTAGGTGATCAAGGAGAAGAAACAATTGCTCGACAAAGCCAGAAAGCAACGCAAAGACTCTGAAGATTTTGTCGAAGAACGCAAGGGGAAAGTATTTTTAGATTATTTATTGGAAATTACTGCCGATGGGAACCAGTTCACTGAGCAAGAATTGAGAGATGAGGTTAACACTTTCGTAATAACTGTAAGTAGCTGATGATTTGTTGATATAAGAAACTACTACATCTTTTCTCAGGGTTCCGACACAACAGCGTCGACAATTGCGTTCGTTCTGATCATGCTCGGACTTCACAAAGACCTGCAGGTAAGGTATCAAACTTCTGGGTATTTCTTATATACCTTATCCGTTCAAGGAAAAAGTGTATGAAGAAATTATTGAAGTGGTAGGTCCAAAAAGGACTGTGGAAAAGGATGATCTGCCCAAACTCTGTCACATGGACAGATTCATTAAAGAAACCCTCAGGCTGTTCCCTGTGGTAGGTTTTATTGCCAGGGCCACTGAAGAAGAAGTCGATCTCGGTAACAACGTAAAATTGCTGAAATTCTTTAATAACGCCAAAACTTTTCAGGGGACCAAGTGATTCCAGGAGGAGTTTCGGTGGTTTTTATGATTCTCAGCACCCACACCAACAAAAGATTCTGGCCAGATCCGTTCAAGTTCGATCCGGACCGATTTCTACCGGAAGAAGTCGAGAAAAGACACCCTTGCGCCTATATACCCTTTTCCTACGGTCGTAGGAACTGCATAGGTATGTAAGCATACCTTGAGGTACACTAATAATGATATTAAAATAATGTGGCCTTGTTTTAGGAATGAAGTACGCCATGATGTCCATGAAGACACTTCTGGCGACGGTGATGAGGAAATTCAAGTTCGATACGTCCTATAAGAGTGTCAAGGAGATCGAGTTGAAGTTTAATACCGTAATGAGACCTAAAGATGGATATAAGCTGTCTCTGGAGCCAAGATAATTCATTGCTATATAATAAACTTTATTATCAAGGTCGAGGGGTTTATTTTTCAAGTTAATGGTTTCTGCAAACTCTGGCATTTTAACTTTTGTTAGATCTCGACCCATTCTGCATTTTAATTTATTTCAACTATATTTTTCTGATAATGTCTTAGCCTATGCTCCATTTTAATAACATGATAATCAAATCAATAATAAATTTTGTAATAACCATTTCAACCATTATCTCGTTAACCTGATTTCATCTCAATATATACATTTCTTTCATTATCTTAGGTATTAGGACTATAACGAATTTCGTTTTTTTTATTTGTTTTATTAGTAATCAGATATTTACAATATACAGGGTGTCACATACTTAGTGTGCAATACTATAGCAGTAGATTCTACGATCAAATATAAGATTATTTTTTCCTATAAACTAGGGTCGAAAATGCTTCCTAAGGGAGCTGGCTACGGCCCCCTAAAAGGGGCCTCAGGAGATCATATTTTTCAAAATATTTCCAAAACCAGTCATTATGAATTTTGGTACGTTGGAGATTCAATAAATGTTCTAACGAACTACACGAAAACTGTTTAAAAATTTTAGTCAGGGGTGTCTCAGGCAGGAGGGCTCACGGGTAAAATGCGCCCCCAATTTTTTGCATGTCAGTATTTTCAAATTTAAACATCAAACTATGATAGATATGAGTTTTTCACAAAAAATTGTACTCTTGATTTACGTCCATAAAACGCTTCGTTTTCGAGAAAAATCGATTTTAAAGTTTTATTACATAATCTCAAGAATGGAAAAGGAGTGCATGAATAAGTAGGTAGGCCAGGAAAACAAACGTTTGTTTACTTGAATTAATTTGACTGATCATTAAACTAAAATTTTTGCTTTCACTTTACGGTGCTGTATTGGATATTAAGTAAAATCTAAAGAAAAAATGCAGAATTTTAATAATAATTAGACATTAATTTTGTATATGGATTTTGTAATGGGAGAGCACTAGCGGCACAAAGGAAATACCAACGGCGATACCAGAAAGGCCACCAAATGATTTTGAAAATACTTTACATCAATTCGATGATAATTCTAATATTTTCAAATGTAAACACCAAAAGATGATAGAAATGGTTTTAAAAAAAAATGGACTCTAGATTTACCTCGATAAACTGTTTCGTTTTCGAAAAGTATCTATTTAGATTTAGAAGTTATATCTCATGCCCGTCTTCTTCATTTCAAACTACAAATTTAGAAACCATTTTTGCATCGTTCAAATCACAAACCGTTTGTAGACTGCATGCGTAGTAGAAATAGTTTGCAAACTATCAGTAATTTACTACAGAAACAAACCTGATATGCACAGTAGTCAACTGAAGTTTTGTAATAAATCAGATAATAAAGAAATTATATACGTTACAGTAATTGCTGAAAATAACTGCCATTTTGTTGAATGCACAACATAGCTCTACTCCTTATTCCATGAGAAACACGAAGAATTTCAACTTCATTATTCCTTAGTATATTAAAGGCCGAATTTATTTTTCTAATAATTTTTCTGTGGCATCTATTTTGGTGTTATAAGCGGTACTATTTAAATGTCCCCATTAATAATAATCTTGTGGATTAAGGTCAGGTGAACGAGGTGGCAGTTTTTCACATTCCTATTATTATGAACTGGAGCTCCTTCGTTCTGAAAGTACATGGTTCCTCTAATATTCAAAGGTATATCTTACAATAAATTAAATAATTCATTTTGTAAAAAATGTAAATAAGCTTCACCGTTAACAGTTTTGTAGAAAAAATAGTGTATGATATACGTGTTAAAAGTGATTTTATTTTGTTCGTGAAGTTAAAAAACTCGCTACGCTCGTTTTTTAATCATCTTCACTCACAAAATAAAATCTTACTTTTAACACGTATATCATAAATAGCTATTTC